TTTTTGATGATACTTTCAGACATATCATCGCATACTACGCATAACAAGCATATCAAATTTATTATCATTTTGTTACTACTTCTCAATAGATATTTCTCTTCTTTTTTTTTCCTTCTTCATTTATTTATTTTTATTTTTTTTCTTGCTTTCTTTCTTTCTTTTCTTCAGCAATATCCTTTTTTTATAGTCAATAGAACTTTTGATTCAATACAAACTTGTACATACATAAATATATTTTATTCAATGCATGTACGTGACATTGCTCGTTAAATCTAAGATAAACTTGATATTCATCAAAAGAATTGTTTTTGAATGATGCTATAAATTACGAAAGAAGGGATACGAAATATTATAAGGGTATATATATATATATATATATATATATAAACATTTCTGTAGAAAGATAAAAACTATAAATAAATTTAATAGAGTGTTTGAATGAATGTAAATTTCAAAATATTTCATTAAAATTTCATATTGAATCACAAAAAAGCAAAAAAAAAAAAAGAAAAAAAAAACTATTCCCTTAATACAAACTCCATAAAAGATAAGAATATGAGAGATGAGTGAGAGTATAAATTTTAAAGAATTCAATTTTATCCTTACCATTGAAGGACAAAAGTATAGAATTTTACTTTTTCGCTTTGTAACATTTAGCAACATCAGGGTATCAAGCATTGGTACATGCATAGCACGAACTTAACTCTTAGAATAAATACAAATATTTATTAAGAGATTTATAAAAAAAAGAAACCAATGCAGAAAACTTCAACCAAAACGTGATTCAATGTAATCTAAATGTAGTAAAGTTTTCTCATCAAAAATATTATTACTTTCCGTGAATTTAGTCATAAAACGTTAAAAGCAAAAAGTAAGTCTTGTTTTCTACTTTTCAATAGGAACCTTTATGTGGGAAAAGGTACAAAAAATTTGTGTTGTGAAACCCAAAATTAGTGCAGATGTCAGATTTGAACAAGCTTATATTATGAATTTTTTTGTGAGAACCTCAGCTCAGTAGCTCACTATTCGTCAGTTTAAATGTCGATACGTTGAAGCATACTCGATCGCAAGTATAGTGAGTGAGATCAGTTGGTAAAGTCATAACACTTACTTAATCTGGCACGCATGTTGTTCCGGCCGCTTCTTATGTCTTTCCTCACTATACAAAAAAAAAAAAAAATATCCATGAGGGAGATTTTTAAAAGCGTTCCCATTCCTCCTTCAAATTTCTCACATTGACTTGACGCTAAGTAGGAGGAAATCCGCCTGAGTGGCCGAGTAGGCAAGAGTCTCGACTAGCAACTCAACGGTCGTGGGTTCAAATCTCAAGTGCAGTTGAGTTTTTAATAAAGCCTCTGGCTAAGTTTATAATAATAATAATAATAATAATAATAGGTAGGAGGAAATGCTAAATTTCATTCATATAACGCCCACGTGAAGATTGTCAAGCTTTTAGCAAAAATAAAACAAATAAAAGCACTATAGTGTGCGTCGCCACTACACCACTTCGCTTTACGCAATTATTTATATAATGATTTCTGAAAATAGCATATTATATGGAAAATGTGTTTGAAAAAATGATCCAATCCGAACCGTGTTCAGTAGGATTCATGCTTAAGTCAAAACAACTCAGTCTACTAAATCCCAAAAAAAAAAAAATATCTCTAATATTGCGAATTCTAGACTGAACACCCAAAAACAAGACAGACAGACGGACGGACAAATTTAAATTCACATAGAAAGTGATTTGGAATCGATTGGCTTAATGAAGGAGGCTTTTCAAATGCTTCTGGGTATTGCGAGCACCCGCATAAACTTAATACATCCTTGATCCTCTATGTATAGAGGCTAACCTTACGTTAGTTATAAAATGGTAGTTTTTGGAACAAAAGTGATCTTAAGATTATTTCAATCCAAGCCATTTTCAATAAGGTTGATCCGTCGATTAGAAATTTAATGAACGTATTATGGAAAGTGCGATCTGCAGGATTTAAGTCCCTGCAAGAATTGACAATGAATTAATTAATGCAATAAAATGTTGCGTACATCCTTACAAACTAATTATACCTCAAACACAATTAGTGTAAAGCATAAAAAGAGCACTCAATTATTTACACAACATTGTTGAAAATATAAAAAACAAGTCAGAAAATTATCATCGGCTGTAGACGAATCTCGCATACCCGCCACCAATAAAATCTTTGAATCCCCTTGGATTTGTTTATGACTGTAAAAAAGTGACTTTAGTTCACTATTGTTAAGAATAAGTTAATCCACGACGTAATGTCGCATTTTACTCTCCAAGTCCTTTTATTCGACTTAATGCATTTTTAGGCGGATAGGATATCTTCATTTGAGAAATATGCCAAATACTATTAAACAATTTGCCTTTGCTTACCTTATGAAATCTCAAAAAAATGAAAGAAAAGAAAATTTAATTAATTATAACTTTGTGTGGGCATGGCTGATTTTTACATATAAAGAGTAGAGCGTTTTGTAAAGTAAATTATCAGCCTCCTAACTTTAATAATTTCCGAGTAACGAGCAAAAACTTACAAATTTTTGTTTATTGCATTCAGTTTACGCTTCACAACGGATCGGTGCTCTAAAAAATTTGGCCCATTCTCAATGCCAACCTGCGCGCAGAAATATTCACTAGATTTGAAGTCGACATTTTTATTTATGCGAGCAGGAGAGTGTCAACAAAACACACCACACAAACATACAGACAGACAGAGCGACATGACTTAATCGATTTAAAATGATACACTGATCACGAAACTATATACTTAATAGGGTCTCGGAAGTTTCGTTTTGAGTGTTGCAAACATTATGACAAAATGAGTATAGCGTCCAGCGTTCGGTGGTGGATATAACAAAAATAAAATATAAATGATTTACTTACATGTATAATAGATGGAAAAATTATTTAAATAACATCTAAATGCATTGTTATCGCTCTAGTATCCAAAAAGAAGAATTGGAATCTATTGTTCTAACAGACAATGTATATTTTGAAAATGTTGTTCGTTTTAATCATTTTGCGTAATGCAATCGGTTATTAAAATTGCATCAAATATAGGAGAAGGAAAAACCCACAAACTCTGTCAGGTGTATTTGTTGTGCATACGCTCACGCACACATACAAACCAAATAAAACAATAAAAACCAAAACTATGTAAAAACTATGCATATATCAGTTTTGAGAGTGTTTTGAATGGCGAGAATAATAAATCATATTTGCTTAATTAGACGTATGAATAAGTCAGAGAGTTATAGCTGATCCTAATAAATAGTTATGCGAAAATTTTTAAACGCTGCTAAACGCGCGAGAACTTACGAGCCCGATTGCGAGAGAATTGAATTCCGGACATCAATTAAGGATATATCCGACAAGCTGCAGCTTTTTAACGAAAGTTTTGAGGGAAACCGAACTTCAACAATGCATGGAGAGAGATTAAGAGAGAACTGGGTCTAATAGGATATATCGAGAGCGTATCATGAGGACCCAGGTCTATAGTACATAAGGTTAGTCATACTTCGACTCCGGCTTTCCATTGTTACCTTTGGTAGCAGGAGAGTTCCATCAACTCAGGTTAAGGCAGATAATAACTGAGTTTGGAAAATACCCACTGTTAAGATTTCCATATCAACAGTGGTTAATATATTACATGAAGAGTGCGGATCTATCATAAAGGCTTAAGCCTATTGTATCTACAGCGCACAGGATTAGTGATACTTCAATTTCGGCTTTCCATTGTTACCTTCGGCAGCAGGAAAATTCGGTCAATACATAACAAGGCAGATAATAACTGCGTTTGGAAAATACCTACTGTTAAGATTTACATATTAGTCGTGTGCAGCATGTTACACAGCTAGAGTGCGAATCTATCATGAAGGCCTAGGTCCTAGTCCTTAAATTAGTCATTCTTCATTTTCGGCTTTCGGAAGGATTCCGCCAATATAAAGAAAACCAGAAATCTGTGTTAAAAAACTTAATGTACGATAATGAATTATTTGTATGTTTTATTGTTATATGGGTACTCCGCACCACGACCTGAAAGGTCTATTGTGTTTCGCCCATGCCCCTAGCTCTTAAATTTTAGAATTCTAATGAATTCTTGGATCGGAACAACATATTGTGCTTGGCGTTATGTTGTATCCGCCAAATACCTGATGGCGTCGCGCATAGTTTGCATGTTACAAAAAGAATGACAAACTTAATATATTCACGTCCCTTTTACAGTAAGTAAGTAAATAAGTACGTAAGTATATAAATGCTTGCAATATCCGTATATAAGTTTGTGTTGTATGATTAGCGAATTTAAAACCATTTGCCTGTAAGTGTATGTTCAATGCAAGCGACGGTAAATGGGGAGTTGTTATTGATTTTTATGTAAATGAATGTTTGTGTTTGCATCAATTGTGATATTATGGAAAATCATCAGATGAACGTAAATAATTAACAATTATTTTGTGTTTTACTATATATTTTA